GAGCATTCCAGTGCCCAGGGACAGGCTATCCACCTAAGCAGGAAGTCCCAGACCCTTACCAAGTAATCCAAAGATCTATACTAGGGTACTGTGACAGGGATATGGGGTAATCAACAGTTTTGTCATGCTTTACCCAGTTCTGAGTCATGAAACTGAACCCCATTATAATGAGCTATAATGGTGTCAAAGACACTCAAGTCAAACAAAATTATCTATAAAAGCATCAAAGAAAAGCACTGCTTCAACACAAATTTAACTAGAATTCCCGAAAAAGAAGCAAAAATTACATTTTAAAATGTTTTTACAAATGGAATGAGAGCATTAAAGGAAAAAAATAGGTAAGAAATGAGAGCTATGCAAGAAAATCTGGCACAAGAGGTACAAAACTTTGCCTGAGCAATAAACTCCCTGAAAATTTAAAATGGGCCAAAGAGAAGCCAATGACTGGACAGTAAGAAATATTTACAAAGCTCAGAGACAGTAGTAGTGGTAGTAGTAGTAGTAGTAGTAGTACTAGTAGTACTAGTAGTACTAGTAGTACTAGTAGTAGTACTAGTAGTAGTAGCAGTAGTAGTGGTAGTGGTAGTGGTCATGATCGTGGTTGTGTTAGTGGTGGTGGTAGTGGTGGTGGTGGTGGTGGTGGTGGTAGTGGTGGTGGTGGTAGTAGTAATAGAAGAAGAAGATGATGATGTAAGGTTCTCACAGGAAATACAAATGTTCTGGAAGAGATCAAGGGGGAAAATAATACCTCACTGGACTATCTCACAACCATAAATGAAAAGTCAGCTAGACATATTTCAAGAAAACCCAATATGAAATATGAAGAATCAGACAGCAAAGTAGAATTAGAAAGAATCTACTAATCATCTCTGTAAACAAATCCTGAAACTCTTAGAACTATTACTATAATCCACAACTCTCAGGACAAGGTAATAATACTACAAACATCTAGAAAAAATGAATTCAAGTACTGAGGAGACACAGTCAGGATCATAGAAGATTTAACAATTATGTTTACAAAAGAGCAGAGGGCTTGGAGTACCATATTACAGAATTCAAAGTTTAAGGGCTTAGAGCCAAGAATAATTTACCCATCAAAATTGAATGTATGTTACAGGGGAAAAAGTTCTTCCAAGAATTCCTGATAATAAAGACCCAAACAAGGAAAAACTGTTTGCATTCTAATACAAGATGATGATACCTGTGTCCCTTCTGAACCCTATCATCAGCATATGTTACATATGGTCTAAGAATGTTGGAAGTAGAATGTAAGAACAGGAGATGTCCTTCTCAGTCCACTCCTCCTGCGAAATAAAGAAAAACAAACCCCATTATAAGCAATGTATAGTCAGTCAAAACAAATTTAGAGAAAAGGGAAGAAATTTACTTGAGAGTGAAAAGAAAGTTTAGGAAAAATTATGATACTTAATTAGGGTGGGGATAGAGATGCAGTTGACACTTTAATGTCACTCATTTGAACCCATTAAAGGAAGAAAATACAGACAGAAATACTTCTTATTCAATAAGGAGAAAGAAGTAAAAGGGGAAAATAGAGGATAGTTTAGCCAAACAAAATCTTTGGTGGCAAAGAATGGAGCCTAGCAACTGAGATAAACAACTGATGGAATACTATTATGCTATAAAAAATGATTTTCACTTCTTGGTTTCAGAGAAACCAGGGATGATGTGTATGAACTGATATGAATAGAATCAGGAGAACAATTTATAAAATGAACTAAGAACTCATCAGTTTAAAGGCTAACCATGATTCCAGAAGATTAAAAAGAGCACTCAAGATTACAGAATGAGATTTTTTTTTGTAACAATTTGTTTTGATTAAGTATATATGAGAGGGAGTTTGTTTCTCTCTAGTTCTCAGGAGGGGAGGACTGAAAAGGTAGATTTCTGCTAACTGAAAAAAAAATTAATTTTAAATGCAGATAATTCCTTATCTTCACGCTGGCTGACCAGTGACAGGAAAATAACATTCCTAGTTATTAAAAGACAGATCATAGTCTTGGATCAGTAACTTGCAACAATAACCACTCATCAAATGCCATCAACCAGGAGAGAGATGATCACATTGCTAGGAGTGGAAGCATTCCCCCAAGCCACTCGTCCTATTTCTAGCCCAGTCCTTAAAAAGATCACTGGAGAAATAATTATTAAAAGTGAATAATAAATAAAAATAAAAAAGCCCAGCCACCAATATCCAATCAACTGTTCATGGCAGGACAGCCAGGCTAGATACAGAAGTCAAGCATCTAAGAGAAAGACAAGAGGTACAACCGTCAAACCACCACCACGTTAACTCCCATCAGGCCCTGATGGACAGACCAGGACCCTGAGCCCAAGAGCCTTGGGAACAGCAGTGCTTCCACCCCAGGGCCTTCAGGCATCCTTCCTGTGGGACAGCTCCTGCAGGTGCTGCAGCTACAGCTACTGAAGACCCAGAGAGGGAAGTAGAAAATAAGAACTTTCTACAAGGAAGCCTTTCTCAATTCCCCTTAATTTTGGTGCCTTCTCTCTGACGATTATTTACAATTTATCTTGTATATAATTTGTTTGTACATAATTGTTTATATACTGTATCCTCGAGGGCAGATACCTTTCTCTGTATCCACAGACCTTAGCAGTGTATAGCACAGAGCAGGAATTTGAGTACTGCTAAATTACAAACTTCACAAGTGCTTTCTAGCTATGGATAACCCTATAACTCTTCTTTTCTTACCATAATTCTCTTCCACAAAGGTAAGCACACTTTAACAAGTTATTTGGATCCACAGGTAAAGCTGGATTTATCTCCTGATTTTTTTTTCTGTGATACATCTACCCTTTTTTCTTTGGAGAAAGAAGAAAACAGTATTCTTTATCTTTAATGACAGAAAATGGCAACAAGAAGTTAAAGAATACAGATGCTCAAATTTTCCATTTTTTGTCTTTCATATTCCAGATTGCAATGAAGACATGTGAACAACCTGACACAGGATACTAGTAAACAGTACAAAACCAATAATGCTAAGGAGTCTACATTTGCTTATCAACAGAAGGCCCTTTGACAAATGAGAAAAGGAGCAAATGAACTTGCTTATAAAAAAGACAACCAATAGTCAGATTTTTATTTTTAGGCTTAGTTTTTATTTTTCCTTGTCCTATGCTATGGATATCAGGAATAAAGTATTTTAAATGAACAACAGATATAATTACAATAAGCTTCTTCCTTTTTACGGCATTACAAGCAAAATGAATTTATAATGCAATATACATACATATAAAAATCATGTATTCTAAGGGCAGAAAAAGATACTCAAAAACTGGATCTAATTTATTTCATCAGGATGTACAACTTTTTCATGGGACAGAGCAACACTGAAGGGAGTCAAACAACCAAAAAATCAAGACCTTTCACATTATATTTTACATTATGCAACTTTGAATATTTTAATTTCAATGACAAAAACTTTACAAAAAAGAAAATGTCAAGTTTTTAAAGAGGGAAATACTTCCAATTTGATCTCAAATTCATACTTCACGTTTAATGTATAGAAATTAACATATACAGATTTTTACACACATAACTGAAATGAATTTGCATCTGAATTTGCAATGCACTCTTCTTGTATATTAAAATCCAGGAAAAGTCCTTTATGAAAATGGAAAATGAGGTCTCCTATTTGCTCTGATCATTCTACTTCCTCTGCTTTTTCTCTTTTGGAATCCATCACTTTTGCCTGTGTCTCACTCAAAATGTGGTATAGCAAAGTATAAGGCCAATGCACAATAGAACTATGGCCTTTGACCTGCAGAATTTGCAATATCTTAAACGTCAAAAAGAATTCCATTTAACTTTTCATACGAACTGTTACCTAGTCATGTTTTGTTATTATTTTTAAATTGTTTTGGGTATCATAGCTCTTGTCAGTTAAACTATTCATATTTCATGATCTAAAGATTTAGCTATTTTTCAAAGCAAAAATCTGATAAGCATGTCATTCACATTTTAGATCCGTGATAAAAATATTGCAATGAGCCTACAACATACTTTTATTACACAGCATGGAAGATTGATCCATTAATATTTGTGGTGTAGTGATTCCGAAAGTCACATTTTCTATTATATGTTTCTCCATTTTGTCCAAAAAGATAGCATAAAATTAAATACTCTAATGAAAACTAGATATATGAGCATTTCCAATTCATTCACTACTATTATGTCGTGCTTGGCCTTAAAACACAGAATTATGAGAAATGAATAGATAGTAAATAAAGGCAACTTTCTGTTCAATTAAAAAAGGCAAACCTAATTAGAGCTGTCAGAGCTATGTTACTACAGATTGTCAAAGATCAGGATTCCCCCAAACTCCAGTTATTTAATTATAAGAGGAATAATCATTTATAAAATTTTGAAGACAAGCTACATATTTCAAGCAAAAATTAGTTTTTAAGTTTTTCATAACTGATTCAATGATTTTATGGCATGGAATTATTGGAGGTATCTGATTTTATAGATCTGCTTTTTCTTCTTAGTGCTCTAGTAGAAGGGCAACTCATCCACCCAATAATTATTACTGCAATTAGAGATTACTACAGGTGTTAAGACAAAAAGAATTCCAGTTAAACATAATGAACGTGTATCATCTATATTGTACAGTTTGAGTTGTTTAAACAAACGAACAAACAACAGTCAGAAAACAATATAAACGTCCTCACTTCAAGCCTGTCTTGGGGCAACTAGGTAGTGCAGTGAATGCAGAGGCCTGGTGTCAGAAAGACCTGAAATCAAATATGACCTCAGCCACTTAATAGCTTGTGATAAGTGACTCTAGGCAAGACACTTAACCTTGTTTGCCTGTTACCTCATCTGTAAAATGGAGAAGTAAAATGCAAACCATTCCAGTATCTTTGCCAAGAAAACCCCAAATGAGGTCACAGAGAGTCATACATGACTGAAAAATAACAGAACCACTACAAAAAGTCCTAAAAGAAAGAATAATGCCCTGTAAGAGATGTGAGATGGGAGGGGAAGAAAGAAAGAGAGAGAGAGAGAGAGAGAGAGAGAGAGAGAAATCTTAGCTTACCTATCTATGGACAGGACAAATATAATAAGACAGAATTTAAAAAATAAGCACTAAGAAGCTTGAATCTCTCTTATAAATTATGCATTAGTTATTTCTGTAGTTCAAAAATACAAAACCTATGCAGGGACTTTGTGTGCTGACTCAATTCTTGAACTGTATTTAGACTTTAAAGAACAGTTTACTCTAATCTCAGCTTTCCAAGTGATAGGTGTAATTGCTCAGTGATATAATTTTGGAGGGACAGAAAATACATTTGGAAATCAGAAGGCATTACTTAACCAGTTGTGCATATTAATCAACTTCTCTGAGGCAGCTTCCTTATTTATAAAACAAAGATAAACTATTTGGCAAATTTACTAAGCTGTAGAATCTCTGGCCATCGAAGGACATGCAAAATTAATTGTGATGAAGCTTGTTATCCAAAAGTCTGGTTATTTTACCTGTTTTGACTCATCAAGACTTCTAAGACAAGGAATAGTTATGATTACTAAAGAAATTAATAGCAATGACAAAACAGAATTTTTAATTACTAGAGATTTACTATAAATAAGCCTATATTAGACAGATTCTAACAAGCAAGTTAATACAAGTCACTGCAAATCAGCAGACCATACCTTATACATAACATTATGAAGCACAATACAATAAAAATATTTATATTATAAATTAAAATTTTATCTCCTGATTGGTTATTTTCCATTGCTAAGAAACCACCAACTTATGAGTTTCTAGTTTTATCTAAGTCTGCTTTTTTTTAAATGTCAAAGTATTAGAAATGTTGGGCACTGAGACTTAAAGAGCCAACTATTTTTGGCACAAGATCTCATGTAAACAAACCTACGTCCTACAGATATATTAAAGTCTAAAATTACCCACTAACCTTGTATACAAAAATCACTCTTTGCCCTATTGGTCACTTCTCTCCATCAGTGGCAGATAGAAGGAAGGAGAGGCCCAGCAAGAAAATAAGAAACTTAAAATGGTCAGATTAGAGTAAGACTAGCAGACTGAGTATGTAGATTTTATTTATTCTTAATCTATTTTAAGGGACTTAGTACCTTGTTCCTCAAAGTATATTAAGATTTTCAATGCTCATGAAAATAATGCTAACTCACACTGTGTAAAACACTTCTAGACATTTAGGGTACTTCCTGAATACTGGATTATTCGAGTACCTTGTTTTTAATAACAATTGCTACTTTGCATTTACTTTGTGCCTGGCACTATACTAAGTGAGTGCTTTATAATTATTTCAAATAATAAGAGTTAACATCCCCATAAACGTCATTTCTCCACCTCTCCTTCACTGCTGATTAGAATGAGGCAACAACTCACTCCCTACATAATGAGTTAGGTTCAAAAGCCTACTCCCAATAGATAAAGAAAAAATGCAAGACCCCTTTTTCTACCTTTACATAAATCCCACTGAATTCCTGACCCATTCCATGTTTATTAAGAAGCCATGGGTCTTCAATGAACCAATTAACCAAAAGACAGACCAGCTAGGAAATCTTTATTTATCAGTCATTTTATATGTATTTTTTCTTTATCTAATTATACTTTCAGATTGTACAGTGTGTAGTAAAACATTAGTGGAGAAATGAAATTTAAAGGGACTTTTAAAGATACGCAAAGTACCTGAATAACTAAATAGTCTGGAAATGCCCTAAAATATGTGTGTACATATGTACATATACGTGCATGTATAAAGAGAAAAAAAAAGACAGAGTCTAGATCTCTAACCAAGCAGAAGGATTCCTGACAAACACTGCTTTTATCTGACACTTAAAAACAAATTTTGGGAAAGGTCACACTAGAAATTAATCTTTTAGATAAATACAGATAAAGACAGAAAGAATATTAGAAAAAAGAAAAGAGAATAAGAAACCACAAACTAGAAATGGAGAAATGGAAGAAAATAGGGGTGGGGAGAGTTTAAAGATTTCAACTTTAAAAAGAAAAGGTAAAAACTAAGATTTCAATATCTGCCAGGAAATGTCCCAGTGAGAATCCACAGAAACCACTCCTCTTCCCAGATATGACACTGATCTTTATCACTGATAATAATCTTGACATAAGATTCAAAGTTTGTACTAAGAATATCTTAAGTAAAATAAACAAAAGCTATACTAATAAAACAAATAAAATATAAGAACTCTTCCTAATGTCCGTGGGTTTCAAGAAAGAAAAACTAAAGTGCAAAGTGGATGTCCTTTTCCGAAACGATAAATAGCTCATCAGAAATCTTATTTATCTTCCCTTCTTTCCTTATGCTTCCATAGACTACTGCTGTCCCCTGGGGTGTTCCAGCACTCCCCAGGGGGTGGTATCACCCACTTTGGGAACTTACAGTCTAGACAGCCTAAGGCTGGGAGTGGTCTGGCATAGAGAAATTTTTTTTGCCATATTGGAAGGGTATATAAATTGTGAGCCTGATGTGGTTTGGGGTGGCTAGGAACCCTGAAATGTCAGTGTATGGGGTGCAGTCCACCTGGAAAGAATTCAACTACTTTCCCATTAAAGAAGACAGTTGCAGGGGTGGGGAATCTACAGCCTCGAGGCCACATCTGGCTCTCTAGGTTTTCAGCTGTGGCCCTTTGACTGAATCCAAACTTTACCGAACAAATCTTCTTAATAAATGAAATCCATTCAGTTGTGTAAAATCTGGACTCGATCATGCACTTGAAGACCTACAGAACCACATGTGGCCTCAAGACCAGGTTCCCCACACATGGTCTAGCATATCCATATGTATGCGTGGCAATTTTTAATTAAGAGCCCACTTTTGTGCTCTAATGGTGATTCTCAGTTTAGTCAGACATATACTGTTAACACAGATTTGCTCCTAGGCAACAACCTTCTAAACATTTGACCTCGATAAGGTACAACCTCATTTGTTATTTCTAAAGGAAAGTCCAATTTAATCCACATTCCATTTTTTCTACCTCTTTTCCTATAAAATCACAATACCACAAGATGAATAATGCAGTAATCTTATTTCGATACTATCTGAATGAAGTTTATATTCGAATTTTTCCATTATACAAGCAGTTTACTGAAAATGTGGGGATTAGAAAGGATACAACTGGGAACTAGGCTCTATCCATCCAAATAATCTAGTCAGGCTTCCAATACAAATTCCCAAAGAAAGGAAGTGGGTAGGGAATTCCTACCAGCTTAAAGTGCAACTAACCAAAAGGACCCTGAAGCTAAAGAGAAAGGAAGAAAATAAAAAAAAACTAATTCATAATGTGATAAAACTACAGCCAATATTTAAGAATTCTGAAGCATCATGGGAATTCTATGTATTCATTCTACTTTAAAATAATCAGCAAATATATACAAATATAAATAAGACCTGAATATCGTCAGCTTAAATGACAAAGCCATGCTGCTCATTTAGGTAGGTTTTCTGTTAGAGAATCTGTTGGTTAGTTTTGAAGGGAAATATGAAAAATAAAATAAAATAAATAGTATAAGTACACTTAAAAAAGCACTGAAAGGAATTTCTTCTCATTGCACAGTTCACTACTATTCCATAAATTGTTTTAGGGTGACTAGATAGTGTTTCCTTTTTCCTCAATACGCTTTTTAAGTTAGTTTCCACCTAGAAAAATTTTGACCATTTCTTGATGAAATTCTTTTATAAGTTTGTAAAGCTTATTTATGGTCCTGTTACACTATCTTCCCATAATTTTATTCCTATTCTGGGTTTCTTAAATTTCAAATATTTGTTGAACACATAAATGACACCTGGCCTCTAGAGAGCTACTCTTCAACATCAACTCATGATGCCTACTAGCTCACCAAAAGACCTATTCTGGCCAGGGCACCAAATGAAGATACAAAAAAATTGTTTTTGATTCATTAATCTCTGCAAAACTCTGAGAAAGAAGGGAATAAATAAAGTTTGTTTTTTTTAATTACTGTTGGCCTGACTTTATGTCATTATTTTCTTTAAAATTTAACTTTCATCCCCCCAGCTTTAAAATTCTACTCCAATTTAAAACCTCATTCCTGGGCATTTAGGTTGATAAAAACCCAAGTTCCACTAACCTAAATCATTATGTTTCAAATGACAACTCATATGCCACCCAATTCTTCAGACAAATGATGGAACACGAATTGGCATATGTGAAAATGCTTGATGAAGTGTTAGACTAGTCAGCAGTACAGAGTACTATTATACAAAAGTGCACAGCTGCTTCTGGCCTGATTTAAGTCTTCAACTTGACTATGCTTGTCAGTTAGGGAAACACTCCACAATGACTTCTACCCAGAAGCCACAAAATTCTAAATGTGCTGAGAAAACAAAAACACAAACTTTATTTATTTCAGTTAACTTGGGAAGTTTTGTCAGAGCCCTACCCAAAAGATGAAACAACAGCTGCCTTTATTTTTTGTTTTTAAATCAGTATCACTTAAAATCAACTAACACTCTCTGTTACAGACATTCGGCTGCCCACAGGATCCTCTCTATTTGGCCTTGGCATAGAAGATGAAACAATGTCTTTTCGGTCTCCTTCTCTGTGTTTATACTTTTCTGTGGGTGTAGTTTTAACGGGTTCTTTTATGCAGCTGTCACTCTCAGGTTGTTCTCCTTTTTGCATTTTCTCATCTTTGCTGCTTAAATCCTTGGACTCAGAAGAGCTTCTATTGGCCTCAGAACTCTCAGGAGATAATGGGGGTGCAAGCAATGTTGAGGTGGCCTGGGGTGAATCTATGTAATAATGATGGTGCTCTTTTTTTAGAGGTGAAGTGCTACTAATGCTCCGCTCTTTGGAGCTGCTTTCTTTACTTTTACAAATAAGACTTTTCCCAGCTTTTAGTCCCTTACCACTCTTTTCCCCAATGGTTGACAAGAGCAAGGGGCTCACCATCTCCTTTACTTCAATGCTAACTGTTTCCCTGGTCTTCCTCTTTTTGATGGGCAACACAGTTTCTTGCACTGAACTAATGAAAGATTCTTTAATTGTTTTCTTCTTGACTTCAGCAGAAGTGGTTGCCACCCCACTCCCTGGCTTGCGTCCTCTTTTCTTGGGAATGCCTTGGGGATTTGTCTCAATTTTCCGCTTCCTACCAGGACGTTTGATTACCATGACTTGGGTAGATGTAGTGGCCCCACTTCCTTCTTCCTTCCCTCCAGGTGAAGGCTGAAAAGGCATCTTGACCAGGAGCTTCCCAGAGCTCTTCTTTATCACCCTTTTGATATGAATACTTTCTGAATCACCTGTCTTTGATTTCCCTGTGCTACTTCCTTTAGGCCTTCCTCGCCCTCTACCTGCCCCCAAAGCCTTGGTAGTTTGAGGCTTCTTAGATGTCTTTTGTTCTCGCCGAGAAGGGCTTCCTCTCCCAGTTACTGTAAAATCAAAATCATTTGGGTCCAAAGATGTGTCGCCTACCTTTTCAAAATATGCAATCAATTCCACCTTGGATCGAAATGCTTTTCCCTGGGGACTATAAAGAAGGAAAGAGAAACAGAAGAATCATAGTTAGAAATAATGAAGAAAATTTGATAAACATAAGATAATGAGAAAAGTCATTGCTGGAAGGGCAGTGTGGCAATAAAGTACATTTTTTAATTTTGAGGTTCCACTGCTAACCACCCAAAGTCAATAAGCAAAAAAAGTCCCTATATAAACCAAAATACTTATACCAGAACTTTGTGTAGTAGTAAAGAACTAGAAACAATGTAAATACCCATCATTTGAGTAATGGCTAAGTGAATTACGGTATATCATTAAAAAATAAATGATGAATAAATATTCAGAGAAGCATAACATATCACAACGATTACAGTGTCAGTGGAAAGAAAAATAACAATATAAATAAAACTGAATTTTGCATAATTAATTATAAACATCAAGGTAAGCCATAAAAAAGAAGATATATGACTGATGTTAGTTTTGCCAAACTGCTTTACCCCTCTCTCTCTTTCCATGTCTAACTTCCATATGTATCAAATGTTGTTAAGTGATAGCTCATATTACTCTATGTAACTTTATACAGGTGAGGTGAAAAATAAAATTAAATGGGGCAACTAGGAGGTGCAGTGGATAAATTACCAGCCTTGGAGTCAGGAGGACCTGAGTTCAAATCAGCCTCAGACACCTCACACTAGCTGTGTGAGGCAAGTCACTTAGCCCCAACACTGCCTTACCCCCCCCAAAAAAGGAAAATAGTTGGAGAAAGCTCTGTAGAAAATAGATTACCCTCCATGTGCCATCCTAAAAGGTTGCCAACATCCTTCCTGCTATCACTAGAACACCACCAATCCCAGACCTAATCCCCATCAACTCCAAGAAAATGCCTACATCATGCCCCAATACTGACATGTTACTATTATGAAAGACCATCAATATGTAATATACTTGAGCCAAATGGCATACCATTTGACAAAATTCCATGGGGAAAGAAGTAAAATTACAATAGGGTATTCAACAATCCTCTTGCATAATAAATTTCAGAAAAAGACAAAAAAGAATTTCAGAAAAGTTAGCTATGCTAGCTCTCTAGTGATTACTGAATGGCATAAGAAAAAGAACATAAGGGCACAGTTAAGAAAATCAGTCCTGGGGTAATGAGGAGCAGAAAATGCTTTCAGGGGCAAAAAAATGAGCTTGAGACAACTTGAGAAGCAAATAGGAGTTACGTCCTCTGATATCAGAAACTCAGTTCTGACCACTAGCCTAGGCTGAAGCTAACAAGAATTAAAATAAAGAGGGCAAATACCTGCTGGCTGGTAGCACCTGAGTCCACTGAAACTTCCAACCAGGGTCAAGACAATAAGCATCTCAGACACAAAAGCAGAATGTCCAGGAAGACAATGAAGAGAAGACCCCAAACAATATCACTTTGAAAGCAATGAAAGCTTACAGGTCCCCAGCCTTTAGTATTACTGAAATCATTGAGTAACACAAAACTCATTATCACAAGTAAGTAACAAAAGGATTCAAGAGGACAAAAGCTCAGACCTGATGCTTCCTCCTAGAGCCCAGCCCCAGCATCAAATGTGAAGTCAGGGAACATGTTAGCAGAAATGAACAAACAACAACCACAAAATCCCACCATAAAGATCTAAGTAGAAGCTCAAGACAAACTCAAAAGAAAAAAAAGAATGACTACAAAAAGCTTCCATAAGCAAAATCTCAGATAAAAAGCACAGCACAATGTCAACCATAATTCCGAGAATTAATGAAACAAGAGTTTAAAAATAAAAACTAAAAATTTATTTGAAAAACCATATGAGAGTGCTAAGAGAAAAATGGGAACAAGAGGGAAAAATGAGAAAAGATATAAAATAAAAATAAATTATCTGTTTTCCAGTTTGTTTTTCTTATGACACACCTTATATTTTCTTTTATTTTTAATAATAGTTTGCCCAATTCCATGTAAAGACAATTTTTAACATTCATTTTTTAAAATTTTGAGTTCTAAATTTTATCTCCCCCTTCTTCATCACCCCTTCTCTCTGAGTAAGCAATTCGCTATAGGTTATAGATATTGAATCATGTAAAACATATTGCCTTATTAGTCCTGTTGTGGAAAGAAAAGTAAAGAAGGAAAAAAACACAAAAAATACATAAAGTGAAAAACAGTCTCCATAGTTCTTTCTTTGGATGTGCATAGCACTTTCTATAATGAGACTTTTGGAGATGTCTTAGATCCTTGCATTGCTGAGAAAGACTGAGTCTATCAACGTTAGTCATCACACAATGTGGCTGTTACTCTGTGTAACATTCTCCTGGTTCTGCTCACTTTACTCAGCATCAGTCCATACAAGTCTTTCCAGGTTTTTCTGAAGTCTGCCTGCTCATCATTTCTTATAGCACAATAGTATTCCATCACCCTCATATACCACAACTTGTTCAGCCATTCCCCAATGGATGAGCATCCCCTCAATTTTCAATTCTTTGCCACCATGGAAAGAGCTATAAGTCCTTCTCTCCCCACCACCTTTTTAATCAGAGATAATTTAAGAATCACTGGCCAAGATAGTGAAGTAGCAGTAAGAGTATAGTGATCACTTCCCTGCCCCACCAAAAAATAATAATAATAAAATCAATCAAAAATGAATAAATCAAAAATTTCTCCAAATAGATCTAGAAAAAGAACGAGACCAAATTCTGATTAGGGAAATCCAAGAAAAAAATTCACAGTGAGTTCTTCTTCCAAGCAAAATTGGCAAAGAGAGATGGGGTAATTTTTGGAGGCTCTGGGAAAAGGGGTGAGCCATCAACACTAAAGAAAGAAAAGGTTCAACATATATCAAGGCAAACCCATCTCCATACTAGCAGACCACTCTGAAGACAGAATTAAATGTTTTCATAAAAAGAATGGGAATGGAAAAGGGAAAAAATGAAAAAGAAATGAGAAATGTGGAAGAAATCGTAGGAAAAAGAATTAACAGTCTGGCACAAGAAGTACAAAATCTTTCCTAAGCAACGAAACTCTTTCAAAATTTAAAATGGACCAAACAGAAGCCAATGTGTCCTTGAGGTAACAAGAAAATTGGCTAAGTCTCTGAGAATCAGAAGGCAAAATGGAAATAGAATCCACCAGAAATTCCAGAATGAAAACTCCCTAAGTTCTGGACAAAATCCAAAGGTTCCAAACCAGAGAAAAAATACTGGAGGTAGCCAGAAAGAATTCAAGTACTTCGGAAACACAGTCCAGATCACACAAGATTTAGAGCTTATAGCCAAGAATAACTTACCCAGAGGAATAAAGTACAACGGTATAAGGGAAAAATAGATTTTTAATAAAAAAGAAAAGCACTCTTGATAAAAACACCTGAAGCTATGTGGAAACTTTAAGTTTATACACAGGAGTGTTTGCAAAACAAAGAGAAACTCAAAAAGATAAACATGAATCATGATAAAAGACTAACCCTAACCCTAATTGCTTAAGTTCAAATTAGAGCGATGATCTATGTGTCCCTTCAGAATCTGTTATCATTAAAGATCACAGCAGGAGTCTAATTTAGACCAAAAGCCTTGGAGTGTGGTTCGGTTATAGCTTGATCTTAAGAATGGAATGAGATAGGGAAAAAATACCATGGGAGTAGAGACGGGGAGCAAAGAACGTTAGGGAAAGTATCTCACATAGTAAAAGTATGTCACATACCATACAACAAGAAAGGGATTGGGAGGAGTAGCTCACTCTCATCTAAACTTGTAAAAGAATCACACAGACTCTATCTGGTACAGATACACAGTTTGTTCAATAGGGAAACAGAAGGGAAAGGAAGAATGAGGAAAAGACAGAAAAAAAGTAACAGAGTAACTGAGGTAGAAGTAAAGCATAACCTTAAAATATTGAAAAAAATTTGTAGCTCTTTGAAATAGCTAAGAATGGAAATGTGAGCGGGTGTCCATCAGTTGGACAATGGCTAAACCATTTTCATTCTGATAATGATGGAATAGTCTTCAGCTGTAAGAAATGATGAGGGAAATAACTTCACAGAAACATGAGAAGAAGATTCATATGAACTAATACAGAGTGAAATGAAGAGGACCAGAAAAAAAACAAATATATCTGCCAAAAAGAGAAAAGAAAGATGTTTGGAATCTTTACCAGTTGTCCTCCACCCTTAATGCACTCTCCATGATCATTTCTACTGACTGGCTTCCTTCTATAGGAAGGTGATATTGATTATTTTAATTCTAGTGTCTCTATTAATTTTCTTCTTATTTATCCTATCAATAGCTCATTAATATGTGTATATGCATATATATATATATATATATATATATATCCACATGTAAAGTGGATATATACATATGAATGTGCATTTGCTTACTGTCTTTTCCATTAGACTGAGAAGGTAGGGACTAGCTTTTGCTTTTCTTTGTATCCCCAGACCATAGTACAACGCCTGATACATAACAGGTGTTTAATAAAGTAACAACAAAAACTGATCTATTTAAAGACATATAGGGAAAATACATTATGTAGAAAGATGCAGCAAATGACATAGTATTTAAATTCTGAAAATAGAAGTTAAATCAATGAAAGAAAGAAGTAGACAGTAAAACAATAGTGAGGAACTTCAGTTCATCCCCTTAAGGCCTAGATACATCTAAACAAAAACAAACTCAAAAAAATATATTATCTCAATAGAATTCACAAAAGTTAGACATGATAAACATCAGAATAGTACATGGAAATAGAAAAGAATACTCCTATCCTAAGATAAGCATAGCTCCTTCACAAAAACAGACCATTAGGGCATAAAAACTTCACAAACAAAAGCAGAAAAGGAGAAATACTAAAGGCATCTGTTGTGAGACAAAACACAAAAAAAAAATATTTACGGAATAAAGGACCTTTGAAGCAAAGCTTAAAAATTAACTGGAGGGGGCAGCCAGGTAGCCTAGCATATAGAGCACCAGCCCTGGGGTCAAGGGGACCTGAGCTCAAATACAGCCTCAGACACATGATACTCACTAGCTGTG